TTTTTTTGTGTCCGGTCGTGAGGCCTGAACTCTGGGCCTGGGCGCTGTCCCTCAGCTCTTCAGCTCAAGGCTAGCGCTCTACCACTTGAGCCACAGCGTCACTTCCGGCTTTTTTCTTTTTGCTTATGTGGTGCTGAGGAATGGAACCCAGGGCCTCAGGCATGCAAGGCAAGCGCTCTACCACTGAGCCACCTTCCCAGCCCTGGATGTTCTTGCAGGAGGGTGGGTGACGGGGAGCCACCAGTGGCAGCGGACGGCACCGGCTGGCTCAGATCTGGTCCTGGCTGGAACCCCAGCTGCCCCCTGGGGCTGTGTGACAGGACAGGTCACTTCACTCCTGGGCTGTGCTGGGAGGTGGAACAGGAAGTCTTTTGTGAGTGGAAGTCTTCCTGGGAACAGCAGGACGCCACCCCAGCCCCGGGCGGGGCCGGAGGGACACTGGCCGGACCTCTGTCTACTCCTGGGGGTCCCTGCACTCTTGCAGAGACTGTGGCCTCTGGACCACCACGGCCTCTGGCGCTCTGGGGCCCAGGGGGCCCAGAGCGGAAGGGCGTGGGGCCCGCGGATGCCAGCCTCGGCTCTCTCCTCCAGGGCTGTGTCCGGCGTGGACGCCGACCCCAACTTGGTGCACATGGAGGCGCAGGACCTGGGTGGAGGTGAGTGGGGAGGGCTCAGGCACAGGGGCCCCACGTGGCTCTGCCCGCACGGCCAACCCGGGCCCCGCATGGCCCTGCCCGCACGGCCGACCTGGGCCCCGCGTGGCTCTGCCCGCACGGCCGACCCGGGCCCCGCGTGGCTCTGCCCGCACGGCCGGCCCGGGCCCCGCGTGGCGCTGCCCGCACGGCCGGCCCGGGCCCCGCGTGGCCCTGCCCGCACGGCCGGCCCGGGCCCCGCGTGGCCCTGCCCGCACGGCCGACCCGGGCCCCGCGTGGCCCTGCCCGCACGGCCGGCCCGGGCCCCGCGTGGCCCTGCCCGCACGGCCGACCCGGGCCCCGCGTGGCCCTGCCCGCACGGCCGGCCCGGGCCCCGCGTGGCCCTGCCCGCACGGCCGGCCCGGGCCCCGCGTGGCCCTGCCCGCACGGCCGACCCGGGCCCCGCGTGGCCCTGCCCGCACGGCCGACCCGGGCCCCGCGTGGCGCTGCCCGCACGGCCGGCCCGGGCCCCGCGTGGCGCTGCCCGCACGGCCGGCCCGGGCCCCGCGTGGCGCTGCCCGCACGGCCGGCCCGGGCCCCGCGTGGCGCTGCCCGCACGGCTGACCGGGCTGTGCGGCGACGCGGCATGATTCGGGATGCGCTCGCTTCCCTGCGGGGATGAATTAGAGTGGAGGAGCTGTGCTCCAGCGTGAAGTCTATTCAAGGGCCGATTTGTTCCGGGCCCTGAGCACGGAGCGTTTCCCACTGCCCTCACAGCCCCCCCGCAGGGCCCTGAGGTGGCCGCAGCCTCCCTGAGCCTCCGCTGCACAGCCTCCGTAATCACCCTTCATGGACAGCGCAGCCCCCGTGGCCCACTCTGTGGGATGCACAGAGGAACAAGAGGCCCTGGCCTTCGGGTCTGGGCGAAGGGCCATCACTGGGAGTGACAGACCCCCCACGCCCCCCTACGCCAGGCTGAGGCTGCCCCCCCCCAAGACCCCACAGCCACGTGGCCCCTGGGGGCTACGAGGGTGGCCAGCCGAGGCCGCTGCGCAGACCAGGCTCTGGGCGGTCCTGCAGGGCGCAGGGCGGTGCCCCCCTGAGATCTGTGCTCCCCCTGCAGGTCAGTGAGTGAATCAGTGAGTGAGCACGGGAGTGAGCAGGGGAGTGGAGGCGCGGGTGTGAGCGGTCTGTCCACACCCGTGTCCATCCAAGCAAACCTACCCCGGGGAAACTGGCTACTTGGGGGACAGTGGGGGGGGCCCTCTCTAGGGAGGGGTTGGATCCCCCCCCGCCTCCTCTCTGGGGTCTGGGACAGGACCCCCGTGTGGCCCTTCCCAGCCCAGCATGGGCCCGACCGCTCTCCACGCTGCCTGGCCCCACACAGCCCCTATCCGGCTCTGTGGCCTGGGCAGAGCCAGCCGAGGGCTCCACAGCCGCGGTGGCACTGGACAGTGCCACGTCCGGGATGGATGGCAGGGCCAGCGGGTCTGCCGTGGGATGTGACGCGCGTCTCCGGCAGGGTTCCGGTACCTCACCTGTGTGATCCACAACTGCTCCGGGGAGACGCCCGCGGCCGCGGGCCCGGTGGACGCCGGCTCGCTGACCGTGCAGGATGAGTACATCTTCTTCAAGGTGAGCAGAGGCGGCCTGGCCTCCGGTCCGGCTCCCGGGGCCCAGACCAGCCGCTGCCATGGCCCTGGGGTCCTGTTCGGGTCACAGGCCAGCCGGGGCTTTCCTGTCCCCTCCATGGAGCATGCGCTCAGCCCCGGCCCGGCTGCAGCTGGTCCATCCCGCCTGGCCCCTCCCCGCCCCCCGGGACGATGCTCCAATGGCCCTGTGCACACCAGCGTCCTGACCTTCCCGCGCCCCCCGACCCCGGGCCTGACCCTGCATCCTGCAGTGTTTTTTGATCTCCCCAGTGCACACGCGTGTGCCCGAGGCTAGGCGGAGCTATGTGGCCCCCAGAGGAGCAGCGGGTCAGGCTGGGGCCTCCTGGGGCTGGGCTTGCCGCCCCGCCCAGCCTCCATCTCCCGGGCCAGCCTGGGGCTCCAGCCCCCTCTCGGGGTCTGGCTCCGACGCGGGCCCCAGAGCTGCCCCATGCGCCGCCCTTCCCCACGAGGGCTGCCCCACGGTGAGGGGAGGCCCGGCCCGGGCCGCACTCAGCGCTGGCCCCTGCAGCCCTGGCTGGCCTGAGCCTCTCCCTCCCACCAGGCTACGTCCACAAACCGGACCAACTACTACGTCTCCTACCGCCGCGGGCCCTTCGTCCTAATGAAGCTGCCCAAGTACGCGCTGCCCAAGGTAAGTGGCCAAGCCGCCCGCCGGTCTTGCCACGTCTGCGCTTTTGGGGACAGCCAATGCCAGGCACACAGCAGGTCCGTCAGCACACAGGTTCTCATGCACACAGTAGGCCCACAGGCACAGTAGGGCTCCAGAGCTGCCAGGCGGGGTTCTAGAGACCTCTCCTGAGCCCCATGGAAACGTCCATGAGGCCTTTGTTAAACTTCTCTTTAAAAACAGAAAAGAAAAGAAAGAAAAAACGAAGGGAAGGGAAAGGGAAGGAGCCGATGGCTTTGTAAATGAGCCCCAGGCCTGGCTGAGCTCCTAAATGAGGAGCTAATGCTTCCATTTCAGGAGCCGGCACGGCACTCGGTGCGGTGCGGGAGTGAGGGGCTCCCAGCATCGGGCATTCCTGCCGGGACAGCACAGCGGCCTGGGGGCCAAGGCACCCCAGTGGGAGGAGCCCACCTCCTCTCACCACCCCCCTGGGGCGGCCGGGGCCCAGCCTGCTGCCCCGTCCTCTGGCCTTGAGCAGGCTCAGACTCCTGAGGCCTGGGGACCCAGGTGTCTATCCTCCCCCTCCTCCCCTTCCTCTCCCTCCTTCCCTTCATTACCCTCCTCCCCCTCCCCCTCCCCATCCCTCTTCCTCCCCCTCCTCCCCCTCCCCTCCCCTCCTCATCCCCCTCCCCTCCCCTCCTCATCCCCTTCCTCCTCCCCCTCCTCCTCCTCCTCCTCTCAGACTCCTCAATGCAACCACATTCCTAACAGCTCCCACAAACAACCGGCTAACTGCATTTCCTAATCAGATTTGGTTGTTTTATGGTGAATTTGTGACTCTTGCCAGTTTCCACCCCACACCCCACACCGTCCTCCACATTTCCCCTTTGTTGTTCCTCATTGCCTGAGTAACATCATGAAGATGAGAGATTGGAGAAGAGCACCCCCCAGACTCCCCCCGAACCTCCCCACCGACCTCCCCCCCACCAACCCCCCCACCATCCCCCCTCAACAACCTCCCCCCGCCAGCCTCCCCCAACTGACCTCCCCCTCACTGACCCCCCCCACCGCCCTCCCTCACTGGCTTTCCCCCCCCCACCAACGTCCCTGCCACTGGCCTCCTCCCCCAGCCAACCTCCCCCCCACCAGCCTCCCCCTGCCAGCCTCTCACCCCCCCCTGACCTCTCCCCCACCAAATCCCCACTGGCCTCCCCCCCACTGAACTTCCCCTATCGACCTCCCTCTATTGACCCCCCACTGACCTCCCCCCCACTGACCCCCCAACCTCCCCCACTGACCTCCTCCCCACTGACCTCCCCCACAAGTCTCCCCTTTCTGCCAGTCCCCCCCCCCCGGGCCCCCTACCTGCTGAGGCTGCAGGCAGTGACCTGGCCGGGCCTCCCTGCGGCCTGCTCCCCAGCGGGACACCCACGGGAACTCTGTCTAAAAATGCTCAGGGACAGCGCCAGGCCGAGTTCATGCCCTGGGACCAGCCATGCGCGCATGCGCACAGACACGTACACGCACAGGCACGTGCACACACACATGTGCACACACAGGAAAACGCAGAAGGTGAACGCTGTGCCTGTTTTGCAGAAGCTGCGTTGTGTGTCACAGCTCTCTAGGCAGTGAGGGTTTTGCACAGGCCATAGCACAGCTGGGGACCGGGAGCCCCCATCCCGCTGGGCGGGGGGGAGCCGACCCCGTCTCTGAGGACAGTGACTGCGGCCTCCAGCGCTGCGACTCCCCACAGAACCCACGCTAGCAAACAGGCCGAGGCACGCTGGGGCTAGAGACTCACCGCCGCTCGTGGGAAGGACTTGGAACGTGTCTGGGTCACAGACAGTGCATCGTGCAGTCACTAAAGCGGTGTTTGTGCGTCGTGTTCACCGCGGAGGGCCCCTCCCACCGCAGTTACAAACTGCAGGCGGAGCCAGACACGCGCGTTCCTACGTGGTAACGCGGTCCCTGTCGGCGGCGGCCACAGCTCCAAGTCACTGTCTGCGTTTGTTCTCGGGTTGTGGGAACTGTTTTTTACCCGGCTGTGTGAGCATTGACAGGGACGGGGGGATTGGCTGCCATAATCGCGGGGTCCTGCCCGTGCCAGGTGCGCCCCGCGCCCCTCTGGCAACGGGTGACGCGGCTTCGTTTCCCACCATCCGCTGCAGCTGTCTGCGAGCTGGGGTGACCGCAGGTGCTGACCGCGGGCCGTGGCTCCGACGGGGAGGTCTGGGAGGGGCGGGTGGGCAGCGAGCGTGCAGACCAGCCTGCTCCCGCGGGGTGCTCCCCGCGGGTCCCGGGGTGTGCAGCCCTCATCTTGGGCGGGCGCAGCGGCTAGTGCCCCATCACCTTCCCTGGTCACAGGGGATCACATGCTCCCGCGGCTGTCACCGCTGTGTCCGACCCGTCCCTGCAGACGGTGTGATTGGGGAGGCCTCTGCACTGGGAGTGCACCTTGCACACTGCACAACCTGGCCCGGTTTCTCTGGGAAGAGATCTGAACACACAGCACGGGTCCAGGCCTCCTGGAAGCGCTGGCCCCAGGGCTGCGCGGCCGCCGCGTCCCCTCTGCCCAGCTGGACCGGCGGTGCCAGGAGCACAAAGCGTGCCCGCGGCGGGGCCAGTTGCAGGCCTGCTCAGACCCCGGTCAGCGGTTTCCGCGGCCCAAGCCTGAGCGCGAGAGGCAGGAAGGAGGAGGCCAGGGGCTGCACCCTCCGCCAGGCCTCCTCTTCCGAGTGCGCTCATGCTTTACGTTTTCTGGACATGAAATGTGGAGCTGAGACTGAGCCCACACACCTGGCTTGGCCCCAGAGGGGGAGAGCGAGGCTGGGAGCCTCTGCCTGGACGAGGCAGGGGAGGGAGGCCGGGTACCAGGTCAGGAAGCCGCAGGTGGAGGAGGAAGTGGGGGGGGGGCTGGCCTTCTGCACGCTGGGGTGCGGGGCAGGGCCCAGCTCGGGCAGGAGCCCGGTGAGCGAACACATGCACATCCACCTTAGCATCCACCGAGTCCCAGTGGCCGCCTGGGCCCCAGAACCCCCGGGCGGGCAGATTCGAGAGGGCCGGGAGGGCCGGGTAGAGGGATGAGCACCGCCCTGGGCAGAGCTGTAAAGTGGAGCAGGGTGGAGGGGCCTGTCTCCAGCCATGGGCCCTGTGTGCTGAGCAGAGGTAGCACTGGGGGAGGCCACCCAGGGGAGGCTGCCAGGGGGAGGCTGTGTACACTGAGGGAAGGCCACACCAGAGGGAGCCCACCCAGGAGAAGCCCTGCCAGAGGGAGGCCAAAGGGGGGGAGACTGCCGAGGGGAGGCCACCCAGGGGAAGCTGCCCAAGGGGAGGCTGCACTGCCAGGGGAAGGCCACACCAGGGGGAGGCCACACCAGGAGGAAGCTGCCAGGAGGAGGCCGCCCTGGGGAGGCTGCACTGCCAGGGGGAGGCCATGCCAGGGGAGGTCACCCAGGGGAGGCTGTGCAGGGGAGGCCCCTCCAGGAGGAGGCCGCCCAGGGGAGGCTGCACTGCCAGGGGAAAGCCACACCAGGGGGAGGCTGCCCAGGGGAGGCTGCACTGCCAGGGGAAGGCTACACCAGGGGGAGGCTGCCCAGGGGAGGCCCCTCCAGGGGGAGGCCACATAGGGGTGGCCTCTCTAGGAGGAGGCTGCTCAAGGGAAGCCACACAGGGGAGGCCTCTCCAGGAGGAGGCCTCTCTAGGGGGAGGCCACGCAGGGGAGGCCACGCAGGGGAGGCTATGCACGGGAGGCCCCTCCAGGGGAAGGCCACACAGGGGAGGCCACGCAGGGGAGGCCACGCAGGGGAGGCCACGCAGGGGAGGCCCCTCCAGGGGGAGGCCACGCAGGGGAGGCCCCTCCAGGGGGAGGCCACGCAGGGGAGGCCACGCAGGGGAGGCCGCGCAGGAGAGGCCGCGCAGGGGAGGCCGCGCAGGGGAGGCCGCTCAGGGGAGGCCGCGCAGGGGAGGCCGCACCTTGCCCCGGCCCCTGACGCCCCCCTCCCCGCAGGACCTGCAGATCATCAGCACGGACGAGAACCAGGTGTTCGTGGCGGTGCAGGAGTGGAACCAGGCCGACACCTACAACCTGTACCAGTCGGACCCGCGCGGCGTGCACTACTCCCTGGTGCTGGAGCACGTGCGCAGCTCGCGGCAGGCCGAGGAGAGCGTGGTCATCGACATCCTGGAGGTGCGCGCGCCGCGGCCCCGCCCCAAGCTCCGCCCCGCCCTCCGCCCCGCCCCATACCCAAAGCTCCGCCCCATCCTGCCCTGCCCCTCCCTCTGATCCGCCCCACGCTCCAAAGCCCCGCCCATCCTGTCCTGCCCCGCCCTCCGCTCTGCCCCACACCCAAAGCTCCGCCCCATCCTGCCCTGTCCCTCCCTCTGCTCCGCCCCACGCTCCAAAGCCCCGCCCATCCTGTCCTGCCCCGCCCTCTGCCCCCACACTCCAAAGCCCCGCCCATCCTGCCTTGCCCCGCTCTCCGCCCCGCCCCCTGCAAAGGGACAAACCCTTAGCTTTGTGGGCCAGGGCAGGTGAGGGGCCGACTTCAGAGGGAGCACCTCTCTTCTGGCGTGAACTGTGGGGGCCGCACGCTGCCTCTGTGATGCGAAGAGGCAGTGTTTCTGGTGGTCACTTTTGCAGACATGGGTTCTTTTTTTTGGTCGGTCATGCGGCGTGAACGCAGGGCCTGGGCGCTGCCCCTCAGCTCTTCAGCTCAAGGCGAGCGCTCTACCACTTGAGCTACAGCGCCACTTCCAGTTTTCTGGTGGTTCATCGGAGATAAGAGTATCACAGACTTTTCTGCCCAGGCTGGCTTTGAACTGTGATCCTCAGATCTCAGCCTCCTGAGTAGCTAGGATTACAGGCGTGAGCCACCAGCACCAGGCACTTCTGAATTTTTGATCATTTGGAGATAAGCGTCTCACAGACTTTCCTGCCCAGGCTGGCTTTGAACTGTGATCCTCAGATCTCAGCCTCCAGGGTAGCTAAGATGACAGGCGTGAGCCACTGGTGCCCAGCAGAGGTGGTTCTTACATTAGCCACTCTGAGCTCCTCCGGGCAGCAGTATCCCCGGTGTGTGCCCTTAACAGCCACAGGGTTCATTCCACACCCGCCGAATGCCTGCCGTGCCTGGTTGCCAGGCACCCTCACCCTCTCTTTGCTGTGGCTCACACGGCAGCCAGGATGGGAGAAATAGCCTGGGCGTAGGCAGTGAGGAGACGAAGGCAAAGGCCTCTCAGACAGACCGGCTAAGCCGGAAGAGCAAAGCCAGCCGGCTTGGCCGCATCTCGACCGACTGTCGCTCGCCTCCAGTCTTTCTCTCTGCCCGCTTGGAAAGCCCTGGGCCAGTGCAGTGCCCACAGCGCCACCCTGCGCGGGCCTTGGTCACAGGTGCTGGATGGTGAGGCCTCTCCCCTCCCCCCGCCCCCTGCCGGGCCCGTGTCCGCGGAGGCCCCGTGGACAGGGGGTGACCTGGCAGGCACAGATGCCGACTCCTCACAAGCTGCGGCTGTGGCTCGAGGGAGAGCACAGTGGGCGGGGGACGCCGAGGCCTGGGGTCCGGGGTGGTGACGGTGCCCACTCTGCTCTGCCCACGGCTCTCTGTGACACACGCACCGCAGGCACGCCTGGCCTAACGCACACACCCTCCTACCCAGACCCCGTGGGGAGCTGGTGTGGAAAAGGGCGACAGGCAGGGCCGGCGGGCACTCAGGGAGCACGGCGCCCGCAGCAAGCGTCCCGGCCCGAGACGGGAGGGGAGCAGCCACCGAGGGGCGGAGCCGGGGGTGGGTGCCGGCCATGGCGGACGGGTGTCAGTGGACGGCGGGAGCGGGGGCGCCGGGCAGGGACCGGCCTCCGAGAGAGGAAATGTGGAAGGCTCCAAGACACCCATGCGTGGTAGTGTTCCCAGCACACGCCGCTCACGGCTCCAACCACACTGCCACGTCGGCGGGACCCAGTCCACGGAAGACTCTCCTGTGTTCCCTGGGACATGAGAGGTGGCTGTGACTCACGGCCAGGTGTTTCCATGGAGACCAGTCCAGACAGAGGCGCCGTTCTGGCTGGAGCGAACCCCAGGGGTGCACTGTGTGCCCCAGCCCAGATGGGGGCCCACGTCCCCACCAGGCACGGAGGGGCCCAGCCTTCCTACGGGTGCCAGGTCCCCTCACCTGCCGGCCTTGTTGGGGCCCTCCCGTGGGCCCCGTTATCTTCTTTCTGTCCATTTGATCTTTATGATGTGGATTGTAGCGTCTGAGGCTGTGACGCCACAGGAACAGAGGGACAGGCACTGAGATGCACCCGGACCCACGCAGGCTCTGTCCACGGAGCTTTCCGTGTCCATGGTGCAGGGGCCCTGCGGCCGGCGCTGCCCACCTTGGCCGGCCCCACAGCGTCCAGTGCACAGTCCAGGCCAGTCCCTGAGCCAGGTCTGAAGTCACTGTCACAGCTGCCCTGTGCATCAGAGCCCCGGTGCGGCCCCAGGGAACCTGGAGACCCAGGCCTGCAGCTGAGGAAGGAGACCCAAACCAGAGTGACCTAGAAGATAGAAGAGGCTGGGAACGGAGCCTCCAGTGCCCCAGCCGCGTGGACACCCAGCCAGTGGGATGCATGTCGGACCTACACAACAAGAGAACAAGTGTGTGTGTGTGTGTGTGTGTGTGTGTGTGCGTCCCTGACACTGGCAGAATGCTGACAGATGTGGGGCCCAGGAGGATGCCGCGGCTGCCTGTGACTCTGTGGCTGTGGAGTTGGTCTTGGACTTGGCGGACGCGTGATCGGACAGTGGTGGACGGCCTGGCAGAGCTGGTGAGCGCATGGGGGCGCAGAGGCTGCCGTGGGCGAGGCTGGCGGCGGGAAGCGAGGACGTGCCACAGGCCACGGCCAGGCCCTCGGTGTCTGCGTGGCGGGGAGTAGCTGCAGCCCTCCGGATGGCAGTGCGCTGGGACAGTGCTGACAGCGTGGCCCGGCCCCTGCCCGCTGCGAGATGAAAGGAGAGGAGAGAGAACTGCAGCACAGAAAGGCATCGGGGCTCTTTGTGTGGAAAGCCCCGGCCTGGCCAATCACAACGGATGCTAAAATTAGGATGTTCACTGTCAGGGGAGAGGCGCTAACGAAATCACCTTTGCTTACACCTCAGAGAGACTCAGCCCTCAGAACCCGCGGTCACGCAGAAAGCTCTCTGGCTGTGGGTCGCGTGCGTTTCCCTCTCAGTAATCTCAGCTGAAGTCACAACGTAGCGCGGGACTGCTTCAGCACGTGAGATTCAGCCCACAAAGCACCGCCCGTGTGCGGTGAGGGGGAGAGAGCACGGCACAGGAAAAGGCAGCGGGTCCCCAGGTTCCGTGGGCAGAAGGCGGACGCGCAAGCACGCAGCTGCCCTTCACGAGAACCGCAGGGCGGCCACGTCCACCGCATCTGTCCCCACGTCTCCAGACCTCCCCCTTCCTGGCTGGGTTGTAAAATCGGCTCAGGAGCACGCCGTTCTGGCTTCCCACTGCCGCCAAGCTCTGTAACGCATCCCCTGTGAACGCCTGGCCCAGCGTTCTGTCCTGGAAGCAGATGATTGATCCCTGGTTCCACAGCTCACAGGTGACCCCTTGGAGAGGTTCAGCTGTGAGCTGTGGAACTCTGAGCTGAGGAAATGTAGAGGGGACTTGATCGGTCCTGAAATAATGCTGTCATGAGATGGAGCCTTGGGGGACCTTAGAACGGGGCAGGGAAGGACTTGTGGGCATCTTTGGGAGTTGGGGAGACTGTGCTAAGCAGCATGATGTCCCCTCAGAAATGACCACAGAACCAGTCTGTGTGCAGCACCACCTGGCGGGGGACATGGCTGTGGTGGGACTGGGGCACCAGCAGGCAGATGGGGAGGTTGCGTGGAAGTCTGAAGAACCCCTGGGGTTCTGGAGGTCCCGGCAGCGCTAGAGGGAGCAGAAGAAGAGGGCCAGAGAGAGCACAAGTGTGAGGGGGTAGGAAAAGCTGGGTCGCAGCCCCAGAGGAAAAGGGAAGGGTCTAGAAGTTAAAGAACAGGAACAGCTTCGAGAAGCTGGAAGAAGGAAGGAAATAAATTCTCCCCAACAACCTCCACAGAGGAACACGAACTTTCTGACCCTTGATGTTCACTCAGAGACCTGGTCATGCTGCTGACCTCTAGAGCTGTAAAATGGTGGCTTTGTTACACATTAACAGGAAAATAATACACCATCCCTCCATCCATCCACCTACCCATCCACCCATCCATCCATCCTTCCATCCATCCAACTCTCTACCTACCTATCCACCCATCCACCTATCCATCCCTCCATCCACCCACCTACCCATCCATCCATCCACCTACCCATCCACCCATCCATCCATCCGTCCAACTACCTACCTAGCCACCTATCCATCCCTCCATCCACCCACCTACCCATCCACCTATCCATCCCTCCATCCACCCACCTACCCATCCACCTATCCACCCCTCCATCCATCCATTCCTCCGTCCATCCATCCATCCATCAGCCTATCCACTCATGTATTTATTATCCATCCATTATCTCTTCATCTGTCTATCCAACCATCTCCCCACCCAGCTATTCACCTTTCTACTCACCCATCCATCCACCCCTATTCACACCTTATTCCTCACCCATTCATCCACCTACCCACGATCCACCACTCATCTGTTTACCTATCATTTACCCATCATCCATCTATTCATCCATCCGCTGTCTACACATGCAAATATACAGATACACACATACATACATGCATCAATCTATTATCTAGCCACCCATTCATTCACCCACCCACCTATCTGCCCACCTATCCGTCTGTCTGTCCATCCACCCTCCTCTCGGCCAGCACATCACTGGTCTGCCCTTGCAGTCCTGTGCAGCGGGACAGACACCATGGGCTTTGCAGAGCTGTGAGATTCGAGCAGGAGGTGCACGTTCATCCCAGTGCCCTCAACAGGAGCGCTCGTAACCTGGCAGCATTTCTCTGAGCTTTACCGTCTGTCATCTTCAGCTAGGAAGTTTTGTGTGACCGCACAACCCTGTGTGCCCGGTTTCCCGAGGCGTTTTGGAAGAAGCCATGCCATGCTGTGTTCAGAGGGGCAGGCACAGCATCTCCCTGGGGACGGGGAAGGGAGGGGCCCGTCCTCTGCCTGTTGGCCTCACGGTGGCTTCAGGGCACGCGGGTCTGGGTCCTCTGCCAAACACAGTGTGCAGAAGGCCTCGGGCTGCACGCGTCCCTCAGGCCTCGGCCCTTCCTGGAGAAAGCGAGCCCTGAAGGCAGTGGGGGCCCTGGCCAGGGCAGGCTGGGTGAGCGGCCCGGTCCCTGTCCTTGGGGGTTTCCCGGAGGAAAGGGAGCTGAGAGTCTCCCGTGGGAAGCCCGGGCCGCACGCGGGAAGATGCTGAGCCGCGGCTGGCAGCAGAGGCCAGGGAGGCAGTGGGGAGGAGGGCTTTCTCCTCATCGGACGACCGGGCCCTGGGATGGCGGAGCCGGCCACACAGAGGTCCGGGCTCCTGTGGGAGGCCGCGCCCGGGCCTCCGTCTGCTGCCCTGAGTCCACGTGTGGGCCTGTGGGGAGGGGAGGCCGGGCAGTGGGGCGTGGGGCGGCGCGGGGAGGAGGGACGCGGGCCTCGGGTCACTCAGGCCGCTCTGCCCTCCTCGTGCTGGTCACAGGTCCGAGGGGTGAAAGGAGTCTTCCTGGCAAACCAGAAGGTTGAGGGCAAGGTGACAACACTCATCACCTACAACAAGGGCCGAGACTGGGACTACCTGAGGCCGCCCAGCACCGACATGAACGGGAGACCCACCAACTGCCAGCCGGTAGGTGCCCTGCCCCCGCCACACCACGCCAGCCGTGGGGGGGCCACCCCCGGACACTGCCCCGGACGACCGCCGGACCCTGCAGGACGGCCCATGCCGCGGAGCAGGTGGAGGGGACCAGAGAGGGCAGGAAAGCGGGTCCCGGCCATGGGCAAGCCCAGCTCTGTGTGCTCAGCCGGCCGCACAGCGGGAGCCTTCTCAGCTCGGTGCTCAGCGGCCGTGGCTGCAGTCGCTCCATGTGTGGGAGCAGGCGAGACTCGGCTCTGTTGGTTCCTCCTCCTCCCCTCCAACCCCAGTGTTCTCCAACAAACACACACCAGCCTGTGTGTGTGCATGGTGTGTGTATGTGTGTGTGCATATACATGGTGTGTGTATGTGTGGCGTGTAGGGTGTGTGTGTGCACACATGGTATATGGGGGTGTGAGCAGTGTGTGTGTAGGTGTGCACACACACGCGCACACACACACACACTGGCCAGGCATGGACCTAGCTGCTCACATACAGAATGAACAGGACAGGAGTCCCTGAGTTGATGTGAACCTGCCCAGCACCACACCCCTGCTGGCCACAATCCAGGCTTCTCCGATGCCAAAACCACCACGGCAGGACTGGTCCCTCCCTCGTCCACACCAGGCCCTGGCTGGCCCTGACAGCCGGCTGCGGCTGGCTTTAGAGCAGCAGGGCCCAGCTCGCTCTCTGAGCCCCGGCTGTGCCCCCCCCCCCCCCGGCCACGCTCAGCTCTCACGGGACCGGCCTGTGGAGATGGCAGGCCCCGATGTTTACCCGCCCGCCTGGAGACTCAATCACCTGCCAATTTCAACATGCCACCCAGGACCAGATTTTCTGTGAAAGGGCTAATTTTTGTATCATCATCAGGAAAGTTAAGCCACATTAATCTGTCAAAGCAAATTTTTGCGAAGAATAGCTTCTTGTCTGTGATTACGCAGCTCAGTGAAGAGATAACCTTTGTGAGATTTATGTCCCAGCCTTAAACTAATCAGAGGAGCAAAGCCAGGAGCGTGGCGCCCAGGCAGCGCACAGAGCACCCCAGGGAGCGTGGAGGACGTGGAGAATGAACTAACCCATGAGCCCGTGGACCACCGAGGACACCCACTGGAGTCTGAGCTGGGAACTCCAGCGCTTCCTGCCTGCACGGCCCGGGGTGCGTCCAAGAGCAGGAGAATTCCTGCCAGGCACTAAGGTCTGAGGATCAGAGTGTGAAGCCAGCCTGGGCAGGAAAGTCCATGAGACTCTCACCTCCGATTACCCACCAAAAGCTGGACATGGCAGACGTGGCTCAGTGGTAGAGTGCCAGCCTTGAGTGAAAAAAATATGAGAGTTCAAGGCCACGAGTTCAAGCCCCACTACTGTCACACACAGGTGTGTGCACACACAGGCCGGAGCGTGCACACGCTCACAGAGCAGGAAAATGAATGGACAGGCCAGCTGCCCACTCCCGGGCCCTCTCTCACTCTTGACCCCCCAGGGCGTGGAGGACAAACTGCCCAGAGGGCTTGTTCCTCACCGAGGGCTCCTGCTCACGCCAGAATAATTGCGAATGTGTTCGGGGTGACACGGTGGACTGTCACAGCCAGGCGGGACGGCCATCAGCCCCGCCCGACCAGCTCACGCCCTGAAGTTGTCCCTGGGCCCCGAGGCTGGCCTGGGTTTGCTCTTGTTCTTGGATCAAGAATCTTCCCCCGGCATCCCTGGCTGGCACTGGGGGGGACAGCTCTTTCCAGCAACAGTGAAATGGGGTCATTTCCACAGTCCAGTGCTCCGTGAGTGTTCTAGCATGACAAATCTCCCGTGGAAAATGCTTTCTAGCCATCCAAGATTCTCCGCTGCCTGTGGAGATCTTGGGGAGAGGTGAAGACGGGGTGAAGAGGTGGGGTCCGGGTGGCCGGGGTGAGGCCCCCCGGCCTTCATCCTTGGGGAGAGGAGCCAGACACTGCTATCGAGTGCCCACCAGCCCTGTGTGGGGAACGTGCAGGGAAGGGAAGCCCAGAGCTGTGTGGGGCTCACAGGATGCCGCACCACCCGCCGAGCCAACAGATGCCCGAGTTCCTCTGCCTGGGCAGCTGCAGCCCATGCGTCTCCAGCCCTCGCGTCTCCCCCTCACCCAGGCAGCCTCAGACGCCCCTCCATCTCCACCCAGGGGGAACCTCGCCTGCCAGGAGCAGGCGAGGAAACCAGCCATGGTCTTGGCACTGCAGGATGCCCCTAGCCCTCCAGGGGAGTCAGGCCACCAAACAGGGCTGTGCCATACGCACGGCATCCAGACGCCCACTGCATGGAGCCTCCACCACATCCCACCACACCACCTTCTGGTCAGAGCTCCCACCAGAGCGGGTCAGGCCACTCCTCCTGCAGACAGGGGGCCTCCCTCAGGGCCTCTCCTCAAAGGGTCCAGTCTGCTGGTGGGGCCTCCAGAGCTAGTCCTTGGGGCTTTCTCCTCCCTGAAAGAAAGGTAGTGGCTCATGGGCAACCAACTTTACTCCAACAGGGACTTCTGGACACATCCAAGGCCCCCACGAAGGTGCAACTGAGCAAAGGCTTTTCTCTGTCCTTTGTAGCTCTAAGAATAGAATCCAGGGCCTCACACATAGTAGGGAAGTGCTCTACCACTGAGCTATACCCCGGCCCCCTTTAATGAAGTCCTGGGTGGATAGATGGATGGATGGATCGATGGATGGACGGATGGATGGATAAGTAATTTGACAGATAGATAAATGGATGGATACATGAGGTGGATGCATGGGTAGATGGATGGATGGATGGATAGATAGATTGGTGGATGGATGGATGGATGGATTTGTGGATGGATATATGGATGTATGGATGAGTAAATAGATGAGTAGGTAGGCTCGTGGATGGACTCATGGATGGATAGATGGAAGAGGACAGATGGATGAGTAGGTAGGTTAGTGGATGGATGCATGGACAGACAGATACATGCATGCATGGGTGGGTGGGTGGATTAGCAGGTGTGTAGATGAAGGGATAGGCTCATGAGAAGATGGATGGGTGAGTACATGGATGTGGATGGAGTTAGTGTGAGCTTTGTCGGTTCTAGCAATCACATTCCTTGGCTCACCCCTACATGTGGGGGCCATGGTAAGAAGTCCCCCTTGTGGAGACCCAGGCCATAGGAAGCTCCCTAGAGATGGAGGCCCTCCCCCCAGATGCAGGGGGGTCTCCGTTTTAGAGTAGAGAACTGGCCTAGCCTGGGGTGCCTTGCTGGCCCCCATGTAGGGCGGTGAGGCCGCCCCAGGATGCCCAAGAGTATCTGCTGGGGCCACGCCCATCCTTGCCACCCTTCAAGCCACGGTCAGCCCCAGCACCCACTTCCCACACTTCCTCCACTGCTGCAACACAGCCCTGGAACCCCGGAGGTGGATCTGATCTCCCAAGGCCATTCCTGCCATGTGCTAACCACATTTCCTTCCCTCCCTCACAGCCGGAGTGCCACCTGCACCTGCACCTGCGCTGGGCAGACAGCCCCTATGTGTCAGGCACTGTGCACACCAAGGACACCGCCCCCGGCCTCATCATGGGTGCAGGTGGGTGCTCACCCTGCAGGAGCTCCCTCCTCGAGGCTGAAGACCAGTAGCACCAGGGACTTGGGACTATGGTGTGTTTGGCAGGGGCCGTACCACAGGCTTTCCATGAGCCTCAGCTCTTCTGGAACATTCTGAAGAAGAAAATACAGTGAATGTATGATGGAGGCATGTGATGGCTGAGAGGAAGGGTGGAAGGGTGGATGGATGGATGATGGATGAATTGATCGATGATGGAGGGATGGATAGGTAGATGATGATAATGGAGTCATGAATGGTGGAGGGGTGGATGGGAGGGAAGAAGAACAGAATGGGAGAGAAGAAATAGAGTAAAGGAAGGAAAGATGAGAGGTAGGAAGGGAAGGAGGGAAGAAATAAAAAGTAAAGGAAGAAAAGATGGGAGGTAGGAAGGGAGGAAGGGAAGAAATAAAGAGTAAAGGAAGGGAAGATGGGAGGTAGGAAGGGAATGAGGGAAGGGGTGGGAAGGATGTGTTGGTGGATAGATAGATGGGTGATGGATAGATGATGGTGAGTGGATGCATGGATGGATGGATAGATGGATTGGTGGATGGATGGATTGGTGGGGAGATGGATGGGTAATGGATGGATTGGTGGATGGATGGATGATGAATGGATGGATAGATTGGTGGATAGATGGATGAATGGATGATGGATGGATGAAATGGTAAATGAAAGGATGGATTGGTGGATGAGTGGATTGGTAGATGTATGGGTTGGTGGATGAATGATGATTGGTAAGCAAATGCATGGATGATGAATGAGTGGGTAGTGAGTGGATGGATTGGTGGATGGATAGATTGGTGAATGAAAGGATGGATAGATTGGTGAGTGGATGGATGAATGATGGATGAATGGATAGATGGATTGGTGGATGGATGGATTGGTGGATGGATGGATGGATAAATTGGTGGGTGGATGGATGGATTGGTGGATAGATGGATGGATGATAAATGGATGGATGGATTGGTGGGTGGATGGATGGATGGATAATGGATGGATAGATATATTAGATGGATGGATGGATTAGTGGATGGATGGATGGATGGATGGATGGTGGATGGATGGATTGGTGGATAGATGGATGGATAGATTGGTGAGTGGATGGATGGATTGGTGGATAGATGGATGGATGATGGATGGATGGATGGGTTGGTGGGTAGATGGATGAATGATGGATGGATGATGATGGATGGATGGATTGATGGGTGGATGGATGGATGATGGATGAATAGATATATCAGATGGATGGATGGATTGGTGGATGGATAGATATATTAGATGGATGGATGGATTGGTGGATGGATGGATGGATGGTGGATGGATGGATTGGTGGATAGATGGATGGATGGATTGGTGGATGGATGGATGGATGGTAGATGGATGGATTGGTGGATAGATGGATGGATGGATTGGTGGATGGATGGATGGATGGTGGATGGATGGATTGGTGGATAGATGGATGGATAGATTGGTGAGTGGATGGATGGATTGGTGGATAGATGGATGGATGATGGATGGATGGATGGATTGGTGGGTGGATGGATGAATGATGGATGGATGGATGGTGGATGGATGGATGGATTGGTAGATAAAAGGATGGATAGACTGTGGATAGCTGGATGGATTGGTGGATGGGCACTGTAGCAGGCAGGCCAGACCAGCTCCCAAGGTGGCTGTGACTGTCCTGTCTTGTGACCTGTCAGAGTGTTCTTCCAGGCAGCTGTGAAGGCTCAAGTTCTCTCTCAACCTGAGCCACAGCTGGAGCCCTGGGTCTGGCTCCCTGGGAAGGGCTGGCCTTTGCTGTGCCCAGCAGCTACAGCAGGCCCCTGTTAGAAGAGGAGGCCATGCTCTGGCCGTGGAAATACCCAGGAGACAGGGCCCCTCACTCTGCCCACGGTGAAGGTGGGGAGGGAGAAGGTAGCTCCCTCCAAGAACACGGCTGCCCCCCTTTCCTTTGGTCCAGGTAACCTGGGCTCACAGCTGGTGGAGTACAAGGAGGAAATGTACATCACGTCGGACTGTGGGCGCACCTGGCGGCAGGTAAGGGAGTGGGAGGGGCCTGGGCCCTGCTGAACCCACCGGGACTCCAGGAACTGCATCTGTGCCATCAGCCCCTCCACTTGCAGGAGCGGGGCCTACCTTCCTGCCAGCCCCAATGGCCAACCAGGGGCCCCTAGCAGCTAGGGCTCTGCCAGGTGGGCACTGCAGATCCAGGGCATGCTTTGTGGTCAGACATGCCACCATGGCACCAGAGGAAAGGGACAAGGAAAGGCACAGAGGTGGAGGAGGCCCAAAGGCCAGAGGGTGGGGCCGGGGTGACCTCTGGTCCCACAGGTGCGGATGGGTGGACAGTGGAGAAGGACACAGGGCAGAGGAGGCTGGGGGCCATGCTGAGCCTGCCCCAGGATGCTGGGAGATGTTCAGGTGTTGGCCTGATGGCACGTTGAAGCCTGGGATGGCTCTTGCGTGCTGGGAGAAGGGTCCGGTCATCTGTTCCAGGCCAGCCTCTCCCACACGCATGCGTGTGTCCAGTGCGCACAGGCTAATGCGGAACACACTGCGCGCACGGCCACCGCGGTGGGGGCCTGAGTTTCCTAACTGTGTGCAAGGAATTTGGAAAAGGGCAACAGGTGCATTTCACCATAGCATTCCTCTTCACTGAGCGTGGTGAAGCACATCTGAAGTATGGGAAGACCGTGTCTGTCCATCAACCCTGAGCCCCAGCCAGAAGGCGCAGCCAGGGACGGGGGCAGACGCTCACTTTTAGGGACCCATCATGAAGTGTACTGGTGGCCACGTGCACAGAGCAACTTGCTGGGGTTACAAACTTGGGGTGTGCGATCTGATGCTGGAGGAGCGGTTGGCACACTTCTGCAAGGCTGGGGCCTGGCCTTTCCGCTCCCTGCCCGGTGATGGGGCAGGATGGGGTTGAGGTGCCGGAGGACGCGGCACCTGCGTGTGCGTGGGCACGCACGTGTGCACATCGGGGCAGGCAGAGGTGTCCATGCCGGGTCTTTGCGTCTACGCAGAGGAGGAAGTGGAAACGCAGATATCCAGGCGGATGACAGAGTAGCTAAAAGCACAGGGATGTGTGGCGATGTGCTAGCCGGTGGCACCGAACAGGAGTGGCCCGGGACAGAGTGGGCCTCATTAGGCCCACAAGACCATGAGCAGCAAGAGCTCCCTGGAGAGTCAGAATGGCAAATGTGAACCTCCAGGGGGTTGGGGGGCCTTGGGAGGGAGAGACAGGCAGGGAGAAGCTGCCCAGAAGCAAGGTGTGGGTCTCCTTTCCTGCTGCCCGGTGACCCACTGAGGCACGGGGTTGTGGGCTTTTGAGTCCCCGGAGGTGGCTTGGTGATAGCCTTCTGTGGGCAGAGGCCAGCCAGGCCCTGTCACTTGTCCTGTGTGGAGGAGGGGACAGAGCAAGCTTGAGAGTCCTGTCAGGGGGGCCTGGGGCTCAGCACACCAGGGCCATCCGGGGAGAGGCCAGGCTCCGGAGCTCTGCTCTTCTGCCCCAGCTGCCCAAAGCCAGCTGCCAGCCCCTGGGGGCAGGGAGGGGGCTCCCAGGAGGAGCAGAGCCTTAAAGGCTGACACGCAGGTCAGAGGGGGGGCACAGGCTCCACCCAGGGCCCTGGGCACACATTCTCAGCAGAGCTGACGGGAGGACTGGGGGCGCAGCCCGGGCCCAGGCTCTGCGATGGAGCCACAGGCCTGAGAGGCCGTGACGAGGAGACATGCCGAGGGGAGGGGCGGTGGTGTGGCCGGGTCCCACGGTACCACATTAGGTGGCATCCAGCCTGGGGCCTGATGTCCACTGAAGAGCAGTGGGTGCCTGGCATCCTGGCGTGAGCAAGGGCCACACCAGCCCTGGGTGCTGGTAGACGGGAAGCTCACACCCCAGGGGGCGTCCTCTGGAGAGCTGGCAGGGGAGGGGGGAGGCAGGGACAAATGAGGGTTGGGCTGTGGAGCCCAAGGCAGCCCCGCCCACCCAGGGTCAGAGGGCACCCTGGAGCCCGTGGCCCGTGTGGTGCCCCATGCCAGACTGGGGTTTGCACCTCGGTGTTTCTCAGTGTCTCTACCCCGGGGGAGCGCCCACGCTTCCAGGCCGCATCCCACACGGGAGTCCCCCCCACCCAGCCCCACTCGCCGCCCTCCTGGAAGAGGGGTGCTCAGGGGTGTGGCGGGCCCTCAGACTAGCTCTGCCCAGGCCTGGCTCTGCCGTGCTCCTCCCTGAGGCCCCGGCCGCCCGCCTGCGCTCAGCCCCCGCTGTGCCCACAGGTGTTCGAGGAGGAGCACCACGTCCTCTACCTGGACCACGGCGGCGTGATCGCGGCCATCAAGGACACCTCCATCCCCCTCAAGATCCTCAAGTGAGGCAGTGGGCGGGTCGGAGGGGTGGGGGGGGGTGGCTGGGGCGGGGTTGTGGGGCCACAGGTCTCCCCGGAACCATTCCTGGTCCTGGAGGTGGGCAGTGGGCAGTATAGACCACATGGCAGTCCATACGGCCTGGCTGGGCAAAATGGTGCCTGGGCCTGGGGGCCAGGGAGCCGGCGGCGCACGCCGGGCTCGAGTTCTGACAGCAGCCTGAAGCCGGAGAAAGGCCTGCAGGGGAGGTGGGATTGGGGGGAGGCAGAGGTGGAGCCAGCGTCACTTCAGTCAGGAAGAGCTGTAGGAACGGGACGATGGCGGTGCCACGCCACCCGTGGTCCGGAGGCCCGGCACTGGCCCACGCGCAGTGCACGTCGGGCTGACTGACAGCGCCGGGCGGGTGGGGTTGCCTGGCGGTGCTGGCTTCAGCCCTACAGGGAAGCTGGGGGCCAGGCAGGGCCAGGCGTGGGACTGGCCCCCGAGGCGGGGAGGGGCGGCCGCCCACCCCTCCCAATGCGCGCCTCGCACACAGGTTCAGCGTGGATGAGGGCCTCACCTGGAGCACGCACAACTTCACCAGCACTTCGGTGTTCGTGGACGGGCTGCTGAGTGAGCCCGGCGAGGAGACGCTGGTCATGACGTGAGCGCGCGGGTCTGCGGCGGGCGGGGGCGGGAGGCGCCGGGCTCTGAGGTGGGGGCCTCCTCCCGGGGCTGGGGGCTCCTCACGCCCCGGCCCCGGCCCCCCGCAGCCTGCTGGGGGCCACCAGGCCCTGCCCAGGATCCCTGCAGTGCGAGGGGCAGAGCCACGGCCGGCAGAGGGCTCTGGACCGCTGCCCTTGGCACCGGTCAGGCTGCCGATGACAATAAGTGATCGTCCCCCACCTGACACCAGCAATGCCCACTGGTCAGAGCCACCGAGGCCCAGGAGCCAGGACCCAGCCCCAGAGGCTGACCAGACACAGCCCCACGCGGTGCCTCTTCCTGTGTGCCATGGCGTGGGGACCTGCTGGGGCAGGCCGGTCTCGGGCTTCCGGAGGCCAGCGCTGACCCCCGTGGAGGAGCCCACAATGCTGCTCCTGCAGCCCTGGGGAGGCCTGGGTCCCCAGCCTGGGAGGTCAAGGGGTGAGGCAGGAGGAGAGGCGTGGCCTGTACTGGAGTCACAGGTCAGGGCAGAGGTTTGCTGCCAGGGACGCTGAGCCGGCGGTGCCCGGGGCTCCGACTGCAGCCTGGAGAGGACAGAGCCCGCCCGGCCCCTGCGTCAGGCCGGGGCTCGTCAGAGCGGGAACGGGAGCGGGGGCTGCCAGCAATGCCGGCCTCACTGCACATAGTAACGCAAGTCAGCTGACTCTCGGGCCTCGGTTTCCCCCGCTGACACAGGGTGTTTGGGCCCCAGCGCGCTGCATAGCCGTGTTCTGTGTGCGTTTAGGTCCTGCCAAGCCCTTCTGCCCGCTCTCCGTCGCGCGGCCAGGGCTGAGGCCCAGGCACAGCCTGTGTCTTTCATCTCTCCCCACCGCTCTCGCCCGCTCCGTCCATAATGGCTGAATTCACAGCCGGGTGATGCTCTGTTGTGGGTTTCTTAAAGGCCTCAGAACGGTCCCCACAGAGCTATTCACAGAGCCATCTGCAAACAGCTTTCCGATGCCGGCGGCACAGAAACAATCCAAACTGCAGAAGACCACCGGCCTCAGGCTGGCACACACTGAAAGTTACCTGTGTGGGAGCTCCCATTCAGAACACACCTCCATCTCTGTCTCCAGCTCTGTCTCTGTCTGTCTGTCTATCTGTCTCTTTCATTTCCCCATGATGCCAGCCCACAGATCATGCCCAGGCTACTCACAGTCATTTTATTTATTTGTTTGTTTGTATTTATTTATTTATGTCAGTCGTGGGGCTTGAACTCAGGGCCTGGGTGCTGTCCCTCAGCTCTTCAGCTCAAGGCCAGCGCTCTACCACTGGAGCCACAGCACCACTTCCAGTTTTCTGATGGTTTATTGGAGATAGTTTCACGGACTTTCCTGCTTGGGCTGGCTTTGAACTGTGATCTTCAGATCTCAGCCTCCTGAGCAGCTGGGATGACAGGCGTGAGCCACCGGCGCCCGGCTTCACAGTCGTGTTGATGGGACACGGTTCTTCCGTGGCGCACACTGCCGGCTGCCTTCCAGAGCTGTGTGGCCTCGGAGCTGTCCCTGGTGCTGGGGCTGGGTGGCCTCGGGCTGCACCCCAGGTGGCCTTGCCCTCCCGGGCCACGCTGGGGAGCCGGCCCGTTCTCCTGCTCCTGAGTGTGCCCAGCGTGGGCCGAGGCTGGGGATGGGCGCACGGCAGGACTGAGACGGAGGTCTCAGGGGATGGAGATGCTTCCTCCTCCGCCCAAGCTCAGGGCAGGCCAGTGGGGGGCTGGGGTGCCCGCTCGTCCCGCCTTGACCATGGCTCCCAGACAGACCTCCCAGGCCCAAGCAGGCTCCATGCAGATGCCTCTGGGTGGCCCGTGGTGCTGCCCTGCTGGGGTGTCTCTGATGCAGCCTCAGTTTACCTCTGTGAAATGAGAGTGAGACGGATCGGCAGTAGGCCAGATGCCATCGGTCTCTGGACGGGAGGGCCAGGTGTCGCTGGGTGAAATCCGCGTGAGGACGGGCACCGGGCGAATGGCCGGCCGGCCGCACATGTGAACCACGGGAGCCACAGCTGCCCTGCCACCCAGCTCCACGCCGGGCCTTCGTCCCCAGTGGGAAGTGGGAGGCAGAGCCAGGTGTGGCACAGCTGTCCTGCTCCTCTCCGCAGGCCCAGTGTGCAAGGCTTCCACCCCCACGGCGGTCCTCCCCTGGGGGCCTGGGCGAGCCGGAGCAGCCGGCTGGCCACACTTCCCATCCTGCTGCTGCAAGCCCAACTCCAACCAGTAGTTCTGGCAGGTGGAGGAAGGCTGGGGAAAGGCAGGGAGAAGCCCAGCAGCATGAGATGTTCTGGCCATGGCCACCAATCACTCCACAGCACATGGCCACCAATCACTCCACGGAGCACAGCCACCAATCACCCACAGCACACAGCCACCAATCACCTCACAGCACACAGCCACCAATCACCCCACAGCACACAGCCACCAATCACTCCACGGAGCACAGCCACCAATCACTCCACGGAGCACAGCCACCAATCACCCCACAGCACACAGCCACCAATCACCCCACAGAACACAGCCACCAATCACCCACAGCACACAGCCACCAATCCACTCCACGGAACACAGCCACCAATCACCCACAGCACATGGCCACCAATCACCCACAGCACACAGCCACCAATCACCCACAGCACACAGCCACCAATCACCCCACAGCACACAGCCACCAAGCACTCCACAGCACATGGCCACCAATCACCCACAACACACAGCCACCAATCACTCCACGGAACACAGCCACCAATCACCCACAGCACATGGCCACCAATCACCCACAGCACACAGCCACCAAGCACTCCACGGAGCACAGCCACCAATCACCCCACAGAACATAGCCACCAATCACCCCACAGCACACAGCCACCAAGCACTCCACAGCACATGGCCACCAATCACCCACAGCACACAGCCACCAATCACTCCACGGAACACAGCCACCAATCACCCACAGCACACAGCCACCAATCACCCCACAGAACATAGCCACCAATCACCCACAGCACATAGCCACCAATCACCCACAGCACACAGCCACCAATCACACACAGCACACAGCCACCAATCACACACAGCACACAGCCACCAATCACACACAGCACACAGCCACCAATCCACTCCACGGAGCACAGCCACCAATCACCCCACAGCACACAGCCACCAAGCACTCCACAGCACATGGCCACCAATCACACACAGCACACAGCCACCAAGCACTCCACGGAGCACAGCCACCAATCACCCCACAGCACACAGCCACCAACCACCCCACGGAACATAGCCACCAATCACCCCACAGCACATGGCCACCAATCACTCCACGGAACATAGCCACCAATCACCCCACAGCACACAGCCACCAATCACCCCACAGCACATGTCCACCAATCACTCCACGGAACATAGCCACCAATCACCCCACAGCACACATCCACCAATCACCCCACAGCACACAGCCACCAATCACCCCACAGCACACAGCCACCAATCACCCCACGGAACATAGCCACCAATCACCCCACAGCGCACAGCCACCAATCACTCCACAGAACATGGCCACCAATCATTCCATGGAACACAGACACCAATCACTCCACAGCACATAGCCACCCATCACCACACAGAGCATGGCCACGAATCACCCCACAGAGCACAGTGCTAGGCCCAGAATGAAGGGCCATGGGACAGACACAGTGGCTGTGAGGAGGCAAGAGCCCCTGTCCCACACCCGTCCCACACCTGTCCAGAGCCCCCGTCCCACACCAGTCCCACGCCTGTCCAGAGCCCCCGTCCCACACCAGTCCCATGCCTGTCCAGAGCCCCCGTCCCACGCCCATCCCACACCAGTCCCACGCCTGTCCAGAGCCCCCGTCCCACGCCCATCCCACACCCGTCCCACGCCTGTCCCACGCCCGTCCCACACCAGTCCCACGCCTGTCCAGAGCCCCTGTCCCACACCCGTCCCACACCAGTCCCACGCCTGTCCAGAGCCCCCGTCCCACACCAGTCCCACGCCTGTCCAGAGCCCCTGTCCCACGCCCATCCCACACCAGTCCCACGCCTGTCCAGAGCCCCTGTCCCACGCCCGTCCCACCCCCGTCCCATGCCTGTCAAGAGCCCCCGTCCCACGCCCGTCCCACCCCCGTCCCACCCCCGTCCCACGCCCGTCCCACCCTGTCCCACGCCCATCCCACACCAGTCCCACGCCTGTCCAGAGCCCCCGTCCCACGCCCGTCCCACACCAGTCCCACGCCTGTCGTGAGCCCCCGTCCCATACCAGTCCCACGCCTGTCCAGAGCCCCCGTCCCACGCCCATCCCACGCCCGTCCCATGCCTGTCAAGAGCCCCTGTCCCACGCCCGTCCCACCCCCGTCCAACGCCCGTCCCACCCCCGTCCCACGCCCGTCCCAAACCCGTCCCACCCCGTCCCACCCCCGTCCACCCCCGTCCCACGCCCGTCCCACGTCCGTCCCACCCCCGTCCCACCCCTGTCCCACGCCCGTCCCACGTCCGTCCCACCCCATCCCACCCCCGTCCCACGCCCGACCCACGCCCGTCCCACCCCCGTCCCACCCCTGTCCCACGCCCGTCCCACGCCCGTCTCACCCCTGTCCCACGCCCGTCCCACCCCCGTCCCACCCCCGTCCCACGCCCATCCCACCCCCGTCCCACGCCCGTCCTACGCCCGTCCCACCCCCGTCCTACGCCCGTCCCACGCCCATCCCACCCCTGTCCCATGCCTGTCAAGAGCCCCCGTCCCACGCCCGTCCCACCCCCGTCCCACCCCCGTCCCATGCCCGTCCCACCCCCGTCCCACGCCCGTCCCACCCCCGTCCCACGCCCGTCCCATCCCGTCCCACCCCCGTCCCACGCCCGTCTCACCCCATCCCACGCCCATCCTACGCCCGTCTCACGCCCGTCCCACCCCCGTCCCATGCCTGTCAAGAGCCCCCGTCTCACGCCCGTCCCACCCCCGTCCCATGCCTGTCAAGAGCCCCCGTCCCACCCCCGTCCCACCCCCGTCCCACGCCCGTCCCACGCCCGTCCCACCCCCGTCCCATGCCCGTCCCACGCCCGTCCCACGCCCGCCCCACCCCCGTCCCACCCCGTCCCATGCCTGTCAAGAGCCCCCGTCCCACGCCCGTCCCACGCCCATCCCACGCCCGTCCCATGCCTGTCAAGAGCCCCCGTCCCACGCCCGTCCCACGCCCGTCCCCACCCCCGTCCCACCCCCGTCCCACACCCGTCCCACCCCGTCCCACGCCCGTCCCACCCCGTCCCACGCCCGTCCCACGCCCGCCCCACCCCCGTCCCACCCCGTCCCATGCCTGTCAAGAGCCCCCGTCCCACGCCCGTCCCACGCCCGTCCCACCCCCGTCCCACCCCTGTCCCACGCCCGTCCCACGTCCGTCCCACCCCATCCCACCCCCGTCCCACGCCCGACCCACGCCCGTCCCACCCCCGTCCCACCCCATCCCACGCCCGTCCCACGCCCGTCTCACCCCTGTCCCACGCCCGTCCCACCCCCGTCCCACCCCCGTCCCACGCCCATCCCACCCCCGTCCCACGCCCGTCCCACGCCCGTCCTACGCCCGTCCCACCCCCGTCCTACGCCCGTCCCACGCCCATCCCACCCCTGTCCCATGCCTGTCAAGAGCCCCCGTCCCACGCCCGTCCCACCCCCCGTCCCACCCCCGTCCCACGCCCGTCCCACCCCCATCCCACGCCCGTCCCATCCCGTCCCACGCCCGTCCCACGCCCGTCTCACCCCCGTCCCACGCCCGTCCCACCCCCGTCCCACCCCCGTCCCACGCCCATCCCACCCCCGTCCCACGCCCGTCCCACGCCCGTCCTACGCCCGTCCCACCCCCGTCCTACGCCCGTCCCACGCCCATCCCACCCCTGTCCCATGCCTGTCAAGAGCCCCCGTCCCACGCCCGTCCCACCCCCGTCCCACCCCCGTCCCACGCCCGTCCCACCCCCATCCCACGCCCGTCCCATCCCGTCCCACCCCCGTCCCACGCCCGTCTCACCCCATCCCACGCCCATCCTACGCCCGTCTCACGCCCGTCCCACCCCCGTCCCATGCCTGTCAAGAGGCCCCGTCTCACGCCCGTCCCACCCCCGTCCCATGCCTGTCAAGAGCCCCCGTCCCACCCCCGTCCCACCCCCGTCCCACGCCCGTCCCACGCCCGTCCCACCCCCGTCCCATGCCCGTCCCACGCCCGTCCCACGCCCGCCCCACCCCCGTCCCACCCCGTCCCATGCCTGTCAAGAGCCCCCGTCCCACGCCCATCCCACGCCCGTCCCATGCCTGTCAAGAGCCCCCGTCCCACGCCCGTCCCACGCCCGTCCCACCCCCGTCCCACCCCCGTCCCACACCCGTCCCACCCCGTCCCACGCCCGTCCCACCCCGTCCCACGCCCGTCCCACGCCCGCCCCACCCCCGTCCCACCCCGTCCCATGCCTGTCAAGAGCCCCCGTCCCACGCCCGTCCCACGCCCGTCCCACCCCCGTCCCACCCCGTCCCACGCCCGTCCCACACCCGTCCCACCCCATCCCACGCCCGCCCCACCCCCGTCCCACCCCCGTCCCACGCCCGTCCCACCCCGTCCCACGCCCGCCCCACGCCCGTCCCACGCCCGTCCCACCCCCCTCCCACGCCCGTCCCACGCCCGTCCCACCCCGCCCCACCCCCGTCCCATGCCCGCCCCACGCCCGTCCCACCCCCGTCCCACGCCCGTCCCACCCCCATCCCACCCCCGTCCCACGCCTGTCATGAGCCCCCGTCCCACCCCCGTCCCACCCCCGTCCCACGCCCGTCCCACCCCCGTCCCACCCCGTCCCACGCCTGTTGTGAGCCCCCATCCCACGCCTGTCGTGAGCCCCCATCCCACGCCTGTTGTGAGCCCCGTCCCACGCTTGTCGTGAGCCCCCGTCCCACGCCTGTCGAGAGCCCCCGTCCCACGCCCGTCGTGAGCCCCCGTCCCACGCCCGTCCCACGCCTGTCGTGAGCCCCTGTCCCACGCCCGTTCCACACCTGTCCAGAGCCCCCATCCCACGCCCGTCCCATGCCTGTCTACCGGGACGGGCCATGGGCGGCCCACACCGATGAAGCCGACAGCAGTCATTCTGGTTGCCAGGGACTGTGGAGGTCATCACAGCCCTGACTCGGAGGCAGGGTGGCACCGTGGGCTGCGGTGTGGGAGCTGGGAGGGGGTGTCCACACAGGAGGGACAAGGCCACCCTGGAGTGACGCCCCGTCCCCCTGCCTCCCCAGGGTCTTCGGCCACATCAGCTTCCGCTCTGACTGGGAACTGGTCAAGGTGGACTTCCGGCCGTCCTTCCCAAGGCCGTGTGGAGATGAGGACTACAGCTCCTGGAACCTCACGGACCTCCAGGTGTGTGTGCGGCGTGGGGGGAGGACCCCGCACAGGCTGCGCTGCTGCCCACGGCGCCCCCAGCCCAAGGAGCCTCTCCCCCGGGGACCCCTCACAGGCTCCCCACACGGGGCTTGTCCAAGCCTTCCCGGCACCCGCAGCTGCCCTGGGCCGAGGGCCTTGTCATACAGGTTGCGGCTCCCCGGCTCACCCAGGAGGCAGGGATTCAGGTGCCATGTTCGTACCAGGCGGCTTCATGGGCTTCACTGGAACTGGCTAACAGGGAGGCAGGAGAAGCTTCCAGAACCTGACTCCAGCTGGATCAGGCAGTCTGCCAGCCCTGTGCTTGTCCCGGCCCTGGGTGCTCCAAGCATTCCCCTGGACCTGCCGAGAGTCCACACGGCCCTCGAAGCTGCGGCCGTCCCACGCCCTCCCCCCCCCCCCCCCCGGACCGGGAGCTCCTGGGGTCATGGATCCCGCAGTCCTGTGACCCTCAGGGCCCAGCCAGGCCAGCGCACAGTTGGTACGCGACGGTAGGCAACGCAAGAGGAAGAGGGAAGCTGCCTCATCTCGGCCTCACACTTGCCTAGTCCCTTTCCAGGCCTCAGTTTCTCCTCCTGTCCCCTCTGTTGCCCAAAGGGTGGTCAGGACAAACTGGTGGAGAGCCAGCCCCTTCGGGGCCAGTCCCTCATCCTGGTCCCCTGCTACAGGGTGACCACTGCATTATGGGCCAGCAGAGAAGTTTCCGGAAGAGGAAGTCCACATCCTGGTGTGTCAAGGGGCGGAGCTTCACGTCGGCCCTCACTTCACGCGTGTGCCAGTGCCGGGACTCCGACTTCCTCTGGTGAGAATGAACTCTCCAGGCGGGCCACGGCCTCACGCTCACAGGACACCTGCTGCAAGGCCTCCAGCCTACCTGCCGGCCTCCCTCCCACCTCCCCTCCCTCTCCCCTCCCGTCCCCCCACCCCTCCCACCTCCCCCTCCCCATCCCCTCCCGTCCCCCCACCCTCCCACCTCCCCCTCCCCCTCCCCTCCCGTCCCCCCACCCCTCCCCCTCCCCTCCCGTCCCCCCCACCCCTCCCACCTCCCCCTCCCCATCCCCTCCCGTCCCCCCCACCCCTCCCATCTACCCCTCCCCGATCCCCTCCCGTCCCCCCCACCCCTCCCACCTCCCCCTCCCCCTCCCCTCCCGTCCCCCCCACCCCTCCCACCTACCCCTCCCCCTCCCCTCCCGTCCCCCACACCCCTCCCACCTCCCCCTCCCCGATCCCCTCCCGTCCCCCACACCCCTCCCACCTCCCCCTCCCCGGTCCCCTCCCGTCCCCCACACCCCTCCCACCTACCCCTCCCCATCCCCTCCCATCCCCCCCACCCCTCCCACCTACCCCTCCCCCTCCCCTCCCGTCCCCCACACCCCTCCCACCTCCCCTCTCCCTCCCCTCCCGTCCCCCACACCCCTCCCACCTCCCCTCCCCGGTCCCCTCCCGTCCCCCACACCCCTCCCACCTCCCCTCCCCCTCCCCCTCCCGTCCCCTCCCACCTCCCCTCCCCCTCCCGTCCCGTCCCCCCACACCCCTCCCACCTCCCCTCCCCCTCCCCTCCCGTCCCCCACACCCCTCCCACCTCCCCCTCCCCGGTCCCCTCCCGTCCCCCACACCCCCTCCCACCTACCCCTCCCCGATCCCCTCCCATCCCCCCCACCCCTCCCACCTACCCCTCCCCGTCCATCTCAGGCCCTGCATTGCAGCCTCCTGCGCCCGACTCTCCCTCCTGGCAGCTGGCCTGCCCTGCACGGCTCCTTTGAGATGTCGCTCACCTCCCCAGGCCGCCCTCCAGGCTCCCCCAACCCCTGGGTCCCCCCGGCTGGGAGCCGGGCACCCCCCGGGCACCGTTCCCCCTGGCCGGCTCTGATGCCGTCTCTCCTCCCAGTGACTACGGCTTCGAGCGCATGCCCTCCCCGGAGTCTGCAGCCGACAAGTGCTCCGCCAACTTCTGGTTCAACCCCTTGTCACCTCCCGAGGACTGCGCCCTGGGCCAGACCTACACCAGCAGCCTGGGGTGAGCGGCCGCGGTCCGCCTTCGCCCTGTGCGCGCCCAGTCCAGGCAGCCGCTCTGAGTGCAGCGTCTGTGGGGAGAGGCTGGGCCGCGCCTGCGCGGGGCCCTGCATCCTGCAGGTCGGTGCGTCAGGCCTGGGGGGGGGGGGGCACGTCTGGATCGAGCGCTGCCTGGAGCCGGCTCTGGGTGAAGCCCTTCTCAGCTCAAGGCCTGACCCCTAGAACGCCCCCCCCCCAGGCAGCTGGGAGACTGGGAGATGGGGTCAGGTGGGCGAGTGGATGGATCCGGGGACACACTCCAGCTCCCCCAAGGTCACACAGAGATGGAGCTCGGGGCCTCGCAGTCCAGGGCAAGGCCAAGGCCAGGGTTGGAGCTCGGCTGATGTAGGCCCCACCCTCCCTGGACACCGAGAGACCACAGCGGTCAGCAGGGCCTCGCCTCGCCCCCCGACCGCAGTAACAAGGGCTGGCGCACTGTCCCCCGCGGCCATGCTGCCCTCCAGGGCCTCGTGTTCTGGGCTGGAGAATGGGTGGCCGGTCCATGGAGCCTTGGTGCTCGGAGCCACCGGCCCTGGTGTGACGCCCGCCCCCCCCCCCGCCCGCCCAGGTACCTGAAGGTGGTGTCCAACGTGTGTGAGGGCGGCGTGGACCTGCGGCGCAGCCCGGTGCAGCTGCAGTGCCCGCTCATGCCGCCCCGGGGGCTGCGGGTCCGCGTCCGCGGCGACGCCGTGGCCGTGCGGCCTGGGGAGGACGTGCTCTTTGAGGTGCGGCAGCAGCAGGTGAGCTGGTGGCGGGGGCCGACCCGGACGGGGGCTGGCTGGGGTCCGGGGGCCGGCCGGGGACGGGGGCCTGCCTGGGACGGGGGCCGGCCGGGGACAGGGGCCGCCTGGGATGGGGGCCAGCCGGGGACGGGGGCTGCCTGGGACGGGGGCTGGCCGGGGACGGGGGACAGCCTGGGACGGGGTCTGGCTGGGACGGGGGCTGGCTGGGGCGGGGGCTGGCCCGGGACGGGGGCCGCCTGGGACGGGGGCTGGCTGGGACAGGGGCCAGCCGGGACGGGGCCTGGCCGGGGACGGGGGCCAGCCTGGGACAGGGGACTGGCCGGGACGGGGACTGGCCCGGGACAGGGGGCCGGCCGGGGACAGGGGGCCCCGCTGGGACAGGGGGCCGGCCTGGGATGGGGGCTGGCCCGGGACGGGGGCTGGTCGGGGACAGGGGCCGCCTGGGATGGGCGCCACCTGGGACGGGGGCTAGCCTGGGACGGGGGCTGCCTGGGATGGGGGCTGCCTGGGATGGGGGCCGCCTGGGATGGGGGCTGCCTGGGATGGGGGCCGCCTGGGACGGGGGCTTGCCTGGGATGGGAGCCAGCCTGGGATGGGGGCCACCTGGGATGGGGGGCTGGTCGGGGACGGGTGCTGCCTGGACGGGGGCTGCCTGGGATGGGGGCCGCCTGGGACAGGGGCCGCCTGGGACGGGGGCTGGCCGGGGACGGGCGCTGGCCTGGGACTGGCGTGGGGGGTTCGCCTCAGGCCTCCACCATCTGAGATGAGGCAGAGAGCGTGGAGTAGAGATGGAGGGAGGGCGTGGGACAGCGGGGTGGGGGCATGGCCTCACCCTGTGTGTGTGTGCGCGCGTGCCCGTGTGTCATGTGTGCACGCGTGTGCATCGTGTTTACCCGGCTGATACAATGCTGACTCACTCCTGTAGCCAGCAAAAAAATTGGTAAACCTCTAATTAGATTGATTTAGTGAATTTGGAATCCTAACAAAAACAAAGTTAAAGAAACTGTTATTTATAACCACACAGCCACAATCTTGTACGTATGCGATATGCGTGTGTGTGTGTGTGTGTGTGTGTGTGTGTACACAGCTCTACCTCTTTCTCTCTATTATATCTGTA